TTCGCTAGCTAACCTGAATATTATTTTACCAATAAAATATTTTATTTTTTCATCAGATGCGATAAATTTAAACACGACAATCCCTAAATAACAATGTTGTATTGCTGCACATGTCCCGGTCACCGTCCTCGTCGAACCCGTCGCTTGCGACGAAGGGCTCGACGAGCGAATTAACCCATAGACACAGCCCACTGAGTTTGTCGCCGGAACTTCTCAGTGGGTCGCTTTTCCGATCCGGTGGTAGATTCTGCGAAGCACTGCTCTTGCAGTCTTAGCATCACTCCGGTTTGAGCCCCGTGAGCTCACCTACTAGTTAAGGTTACGCTGAAATAGCCTCTCAAGGTTATCAGCTAGGTAGGAAAAAAAAAGCACATGTTACAGCAACAGGCTTCATGTTTCTTACAGAGGCCGCTGCAAGTTACGTGGCAAATGCAGTGACGTTGCAGACTATAAATAATGTATTTGACCCACTTATTGTCTCGAATGTTACACGGATGTAAGAATAATGAGCGAGCGCTGCTTCGTTACGACACGCCGAAAATTTTGTTTATAGGTTTTTTTTTTCATTACATTTCGATCTGTTTTATCGATTTCCAAGAGTCAGTGACTTTAGGTTTTAAGGGCTGGGTAGTCGTTATTCCATACAATTAACATTTTGTATTCATTTCTCAAGGCCACCAGCATTAATGTTATGGTATCTATAAGATATGGAAACCTTTTATCACCTTTGTTTTACTGGCGGTAGGACCTCTTGTGAGTCCGCACGGATAGGTACCACCGCCCTGCCTATTTCTGCCGTGAAGCAGTAATGCGTTTCGGTTTGAAGGGTGGACCAGCCGTTGTAACTAAACTTGAGACCTTAGAACTTATATCTCAAGGTGGGTGGCGCATTTACGTTGTAGATGTCCATGGGCTCCAGTAACCACTTAACACCAGGTGGGCTGTGAGCTCGTCCACCCATCTAAGCAACAACAAAAAAAAACAAATTGGCCGTGAGCACATCTGTCATCGGTGCCACTAAAATAAATCTGTATTGATTTAAAAGCTACATAAAGAAATGATTGACAGACAATATAAAATTTTGGATTCCACATTCGAACAGAGATTTTAATTTCAGCCATCTTGACGTCAGTGTAAATAATTTTCTAAGAACTCATTAAAAGCTTCTTTATGCAGTATCGGTTCATCGGGCAACCCAGTACATTAATCTCGAGCAATTACTCATTGAAATGATAACAATTGAGTAACTGTTTTTTTTTTGGATATAATCCAATGATTATGAAACAAAACTTTTTATAGATCGATAAATCTTCACTTAACTTTCATCGTACATAATAATATATTTACTGCATTCTTTATGTACCGATCGTTAATTAACCGTTTTATTTTATTAATAAATATATTTTAATAAAGATATTATTTTTCGTGACGCACGGATGTGGAGGTGACAGACATATTGTGTGCACCTTTTGATTTTGACTGTTTTATTTTTATTGCCATTGTAAGTAGAGAGGTATAGGGCCCATCTAATGGTGAGCCACTTACTGTCACTCATGAATATCAGCAATGCAAGTGCACAGTCAAGCCGCTAGAACTACAATACAGTTCATTTGGTTCCATAGTTCTTTTTTTTTTTATTGCTTAGATGGGTGGACGAGCTCACAGCCCACCTGGTGTTAAGTAGTTACTGGAGCCCATAGACATCTACAACGTAAATGCGCCACACACCTTGAGATATAAGTTCTAAGGTCTCAGTATAGTTACAACGGCTGCCCCACCCTTCAAACCGAAACGCATTACTGCTTAACGGCAGAAATAGGCAGGGAGGTGGTACCCACCCGCGCGGACTCACAAGAGGTCCTACCACCAGTAAAGTTCATTTACGGTCGTGTTTTTTCATAAACTGTTTCAAAGTTCAGCAACCGCTTTTCCCTTTAGTCTAATATTAAAGTGTTGATAGCAGGGCGAATAGCCCGTTTATTAAGTCTGCAAACAACAACAATACAGGTTCGAAGACCTCACTTAATAGATCGTAACAACTGTACCAATAACTCTGCATACTATTTGCAGAGTTCAATTTAAAGGTATTCGATAGCGGCTCGTGACGTCAATGTGAACACACCGTCGGAGTGCATCAATCAATCTAAGTGCACCAAATGCAACCGACGTACAGTTGTTACCAAGCCGTATGTACGTCATGAGCCGGGCGGTCATTGAAACCCAAATGTTTAAGCGCTAACGTTTTGCATAAAGACGGTGCTTCAAAACTTGGAAAAGCCGGTCCCTAGTAATTTTTACATATCCGTTATACTGGTGGTAGGACGCGCGGGTAGGTACCACCGCCTTGACTATTTCTGCTGTGAAGCAGTAATGCGTTTCGGTTTGAAGTGTGGGGCAGCCGTCGTTACTATAGGGACTTGAGACCTTAGAACTTGTATCTCAAAGGTGGGTGGTGCATTTACGTTGTGGATGTCTATGGGCTCCAGTAACCACTTAACACCAGGTGAGCTGTGAGCTCGTCCACCCACCTAAGCAATAAAAAAATTGAACGGTGGGGCAGCCGTTGTAACTATACTGAGATCTTAGAACTTATATCTCAAGGTGGGTGGCGCATTTACGTTGTAGATGTCTATGGGCTCCAGTAACCAATTAACACCAGGTGGGCTGTGAGCTCGTCCACCCAACTAAGCAATAAAAAAAAAAAAAAAACTCGTGAAGATTATAAAATTAAAATCGCCATATTAAATTGCCAGTTCAAAATTTTCTTGTTTGTAATTGAATTAATATTTTTAACAAACGATAAATAACCTTTTTTGCTGCACCAGTACCTACTTAGATCCGTTGAGAGGTCAGTGTAACCGATTTAGTATCCGAATTTCAAATTAACCTGCAAAACATTACAGTTTACTTGTAAGTACAGTTGTTTGTTAACGGTATCGGTTCCATTTAGTGAATAAAGTCTTAGTTTAGAATTCGGATTAAGTATTTTTTCATTTACATAAATTCGTATAAATGAAGGTTAGGTTATCTCGAAAACATTTTTGTAACGAACTTCCTTAGGGATGCGGATGAGTACCCTAACCGGTAAAAATGTCCGTAACATAAGAATTTTATTAGTAATGCACACAGTGTACGACTTAATTTGTAATAACGTACAAAAAATAACATATTTTTATTACATATTTTTTATAAATCATTGTGAATAAAATACAGTTGATAACTTTGTAGAGTAGTTTTTTTAATTTTTATCAATAAAAAAATCATAATAAAAAATGTATACCCGATTAATTATTTTCTTTATACTTCGAATAGAACTTAAAATTAATATTTTTATAATAAGGAACTTCGTTCCTATCCGGTGTCCCACGACACCACACATATTTTTTTATACTGGCGGTAAGACAATATTATGAATCCGCACATGATAATTTTTTTATGAGCTTTGTACTATCTGCAATCAGTACTTATACTACAAGCAGGTGAGGGGAAAAGACTATAGTTTACGGAGGCCCTTATCCAATGACAGAGTCTTTTTATTTAGCAGGATGCAAAATTTTCATTCAGAATCCGCACGGGTGGGTAAAATCATTTTATTTGGTTCAATCGCTAAGCAGATATAGAGTAAGAAAAAAATATTTTAACCCGGATTCTCAAGGCGGGTGGAAAAATTCACGTTTGCATCACTATGAATTAAAGCCTCGTAAGCTCGTTCGTCCATCTGATGCATCAAAAAACATCCATTATTCATGCTGGTTGCAGACTGGACTACGAAGGGTGGTTTCGGTATCAACAGTCATCTACCAGCTCAGCAATAATGACTTAAAGCGGAAAGCATTGATATGCCGGTTATTCTTATAAGTTCCCCTCCTGGCTGAGCCTTTGCTCACCCACCCACCTGTGAAACTGGAAAGGCCTCCGGGCCACCAGTAATCCTTCAATAATAAAATAAATCTTATAAATTATACACTAACGAACACTTTAAAGTGTCGAACACTTTATCGGACCTCAGCTTAAAATGAAAAAAACAACCTAATTTTAAATTATGAATTACGAAAAAGACCACCAGCAGGAAAACTCGTAACGTTTAAAAATCAAACAACAAAAAAACACTTTAAGCTCTCTTCATGACTATTTGTTTGTGTTTTTAACTCATTTACATTTGAGTGTATATTTGTAAATTATCAACGTGACCATCGCATAAGTTTTACGAAGCCGGCGCCAAGTAGACGTTGAGTCAACCGAGAGATTTAACTCTTCGGTTGCGATGATACTGTCTTGCAACGTAACGCGAGACTGGATATGAATAATAGTTATTTTTACAATACTAGCCGTGATCCGTGGCTTCACGCATGTTTTTTTTTTAATTCCGATATTTTTGTTAACTTTTTTTTTAACTTGCGATCGCATGCAGCAACATTCGCATGTTGCGATGGATATGTGGAGTAACGACAATGGATAGAATACAAAATGAATATATTAGAGGAAGTCTGAAAGTGGCACCTATGGCAGAGAAGTTGAGAAGCGCGCGTTTGAGATAGTATGGAAATGAAAATGAGGTTGGTAAGAGAGTGTTAACTACGAATGTGGAAGGATATAGAGGAAGAGGTAGACCTAAGAAAAAATGGGTGGATTGCGTGAAAAACGATATGTGTAAGAGGGGAGTAGGCGAAGAAATTGTATTAATGATAGAGGAGTATGGAAGGAGAAAACATGTTGGGCCGACCCCAGGTGCCTGGGACAAGGGCAGGAGAATGATGACGATGATATTTTTTTAACAGTAGTCCTATGATAACTCTAGAGAATCGGTTAGAAACTTGCTTACTACTACTATGTAGATTATCCTCTCCGCCCCTATTAAATGATGGACCCTCGGTATTAAGCGATGAAGAATACAAACCCTATTACCCAAAATTTAGAATCGACGTGACAATTACCGGACGACAATAATAGTACGGTTTACCCTACCTCATATTTGGTCATACATCTCTAATTTTACTAGAGCACTTACTTTAAAACCAGAATGTGTTCCACTCAAATTGTACAGTAAACGGTTACGGCATAATGGGAACAAGATACCCAAATTAGGAAAGAACAATAAGTACGGTATTACGGAAACGGGCTGCATACGAAACTGGATCGAGAAATGAAAAATTCTTTGCTTCGTAGAAGGCTCGGATGTGAACCTGTAACCTGAATTACGGAACGCCGAAACGTCCGCGCCCCCGGCCGCAGACACATATAGCGGGCTTCCCCGAACTATATTACATGCACCTCGACTTATGGAGGCGGTGACTACGTGTTAAGTGGAAGACACGACGCAGCGTCTTCCTGAATCCCGCCCTCTTTTATCCCGTCACTATAAATATGTAGCCGAACCGTTCCCTGTTCAGTCGTTCATGAAAGCTCGAGGTGTGCACCGTGCCAAATCTCGCTACTCCATAGCGGCAACGTGATCGCAATCGCGTCTCGAAATCATAACATTAATTTACGGGATTTCGTAACTTGGCGATATATCAAAGGGAGCTTCTCTCTGTGTTGTTTGTGTGTTCATAATGTTGGACAAGTCTTTCATCGGGGGCAGTTGGGAAAGCGTGGTAAGTTCGATTTTATAAATTAAGTAACGTTCCATTTCAGCTCTAAACGTGTCGGCCGTAAACAAACATAGGCGGTGCACTGATTACGGAATACTGACCGGTGGTCAGTATTCCGTAATTCGCAAGTCAGTATTACGCAAAGCGGACGGCCAGTTTAATGCGCTTAAAAGGCAGCTGACTTGTCTACAACTGCTGTCATTGAACTGCGAGCGTGCGGGCTCGCTGTTTGAATACGGAATTACATTCTTTTTGTGGTTAAAGCTCTTGACATTGCCACTTTTGGAACGTTTCACGGCTGCGACTGCGAGTCGAGCATTAAATTAATCAACGTCAAAAATCGATTTCTCGTGTTTGATTAAATGTCGAGATTAATAAAAACTTCCTCTGACGTTCTTTTGATTGAAATTTCAAATTACGGTAAAAAAAATAATCACTAGCGAAATTAAAGAATTTCGTAGGTTAGTTCGCGACCTCAAGAAATTAGAATTTCATGGACGTAGTCGACTTTAATATATCTAATTTTATAGTTGCGGCACCAAATATGTTACAAAATAAAGATAATCAGGTTACAAAAAAAGAACGATATTACTAAATTAGGACACTGTTGAGTTACAATATTAGAAAGTGATTATCTGTCAGGCACACAATGAGAGCTGTCAGAACTGTCAAAGCTGTCATAAATATCGATTGTCGACATACCGGTTTTGTTCTTAATACGATCGTTTTTAATTCGCGAACCGGATGGCGTGCTTTGACTTTCACTAGCGAATTCAATATTCAATTTGAGAATCATAAAATTTCTATATAATTGCGCACAATAATGATCTGTTTTTAAACTTAGGTTCGCTTTCAAAAATAATTTTCTATAAAAAGGAAATAAATAATAATGTGCTGTTTTAATTTCAATATTTAACTTTTTCTCAAGTACGCATTTATATAAACTTAATAACTAACAATATAAAATATATAAACTTAAGAACGGCTGTCGAGAATTATCAAATCTTTAAAATTGGTTTATTATTACATGTATAGCCCATATACAAAGTAAGAGCAACACAAATCAAGTGCACAAGTTGAACTGTACGCGCTCACACTTCATTTAACATTCATAAATAAATTTAATTAAACGGAGGCAGACGAGGGCGAAACTTTCAGCGTAAAAAAAAAAGAAGAAAACATGCATCAAATTAAATCGGGCAATGTTGTGTTTTACATTAATGAACAAAGCGAAACGTACGTAACGCCTCGTTGATTCAGCTAAACGATCCTCCGAGCCTACTCGAGCCATTTAGCATATGAAAAACTTCTTTTCGCCGATTCATTTATTTGTTAGGTCAGCCTGACAAATATTTGGTCATAAATACAACGTTAAGCATGGAAAATCAAATCTCTTCCATCTGCCGGGAACGTGTTACGAGCTTCTTCGGACTCATCATGCGGTCTCCCAGACATGAATTAGAAAAGCTCATAATTTCGGGTCGCATAGAGGGCAAGCGCGCCGTGGGTAGAACACCAGTCAGATGGTCAGATCTAGTAAGAGAAGCACTTGGTGGTAGTCTGTACCATGCGGTCCGTGTCACCCATGATCGAACACAGTGGAAGAACGTCACATGTGATCGCGATCTTCAGCAGTGAGGTCGATATAGAAGAAGAATGGAAAATCATATTTTATTATTTACCAGTCATAGGTTACGCTTGTACGATACATGAATTTAATTAGAGGATTGTAAGATCGAGCTTTTTTTGTTGCCCTTGTAGGCAGACGAGCATACGGCCCACCTGATGGTGAGTGGTTAGCCAAGCCACTTGCTACCGTTAAGTATATGGGAATACCACTACGTTGACAATCCTTTTTGAATAGTAACCACGTAATGACTTTTTTCTAAACATTTGTGCTGTCGTAGAATTAAAAAAAAAAGGTTAACCTTAGTTTACATTTCAAAACATTAACGTCTCATCGAGCAGACGTGGTGAAATAAAATGAAAATTGATTACTCATAGAAAAGTGATGCGTTGTGAGAGAAAATCCGTGTGGGCAATGCGCTTAGTCAGAGGACATCGTCATTATACGTCACAGTCTAATTATAGTGTTTATTACACTGAAGACATATCTCATTTTGACCTAAGTAAGTGAAAATTGTCATAATACATCTTTTTATTTAAAACAAATTAGTCGGTTTTTTTTAACTGTTTCATTTAAGATTCCACTAGACGATGACCGAGTTTTGTTCGGTTTTTTTTTTATAACGCCCTCTTGTTGTGTCTTTAAAGCGGTTAGTTGCACTCAATTAAGAAAAATAGTATTATTATTCGCCAATAGATGTCGGGAAGAATTGATTATTGAAAACACGAATAAAACAACATTTTCGGAAAATAAATCGTAGCTAGATCGATTTATCGCCCCCGAAATCCCCTGTATATTAAATTTTATGAAAATCGTTGGAGCCGTTTCCGAGCTTCAGATTATTTATATACTATGTATTAATGTACAAGAATTGCTCGTTTAAAGGTATAAGATCTAGAGTCTATAATAAACTAACTGCTCTGTTAAATTAAATAGTCCTTAACACTAAACAAACCATAACGGGTCAAATGACTCATTAGAACTTTTGCATTGTAAATACACGTATCCTCTTATTGATTTTGTACATTTGACTTCATGACTTTTTCTAACCAATGAATCTACAGTTATTATACTTTTTTTATTTTGTTTATTTTTTGTAATACTTGTCGTATATCTACCCGCTATAGTAGAAATAGGTGTTGATACGATTAGTTCATAATACTTTGTCAAAACGAAAAGATTTATTAAGATCGGACCTCCTCTTCTGTGTCAACAAGAGATCGTGACCGATGTTGTCAATTTGGCGGTATGCCCTAAAAATCTTATGAATCTTATCAGACATTTTAAAGTGACGCAATATTTTGATTACAAATAGCTTGCAATTTTATAACACGGTTATTAACCTTCGCACGTACACATCATCTGCATGCATAACTAATAATAGATCCCCGAACTATAGTTGAAACGAACTAAAATAGAACGATGTTATATTAAAACTAATGCAAATGTTCGCGAATTTAGAGACTCTTAAATAGGCCACCATTGTTTATAAGTTTGTTGCGTAAAAATAAAACGTTGATGTTTTGATATACGTATCTGCAGCGTTTTCAAAACTCTCGACAGATCTTCGGCGGTTAAATAATTAGTTTTATATATTTTTTTTTATTGCTTAGATGGACGGACGAGCTCACAGCCCACCTGGTGTTAAGTGGTTACTGGAGTCCATAGACATCTACAACGTAAATGCGCCACCCACCTCGAGATATAAGTTCTAAGGTTTTAGTTTTTACAGTAAAACAGCGGCCCCACCCTTCAGACGAAACGCATTACTGCTTTACGGCGGAAACAGGCGGGGTGGTGGTACCTACCCGTGCGGACTCCCAAGAGGTCCTACCACCAGTGCTTACGCAAATTATAATTTTGCGGGTTTGGTTTTTATTACACGATGTTATTCCTTCACCGTGGAAGTCAATCGTGATCATTTGGTGACTACGTATTTCATTAGAAAAATTGGTACCCGCCTGCGGACACCGGACGTCTTATCCTTTAGGCCACGACGACTTTTATATTTAAACTCATACGTATTTAAATTCACTGTAGATTAGAAAACACTTCCGAGTGGAATGTAATTTCATGATTTTTCAAAAGCAATGCACTGTAACGTCTGCATAAAAATACGTATGCTTGAATTTTAGAAACCGTACATTTTCTTTCGACCGTCGAAAAATGCTACATCAAGAACCTAATGTTATCTACGACACACAATTAAACCGCTGCACGAGCATAATAATAGCAGTCGCATTGAACTAGAAATAGACTGAACACGAATATAATGTGCAAGATTATATATAACCTTCGGGGCCAAGACATGGATTATTATTCTAAAAATAACATCGCACGGGAATAATGTAAGAACTACGTTTAATAGTAATAAGGGACTCTATTATTGAAGTGAAACTTCTTTAGAATCGTTGTGATTTCAAACTCGATGAAACGAAAAAATAAGTCCATAGAGACACAAACACATAAATGTATAGGAGAGAATGAGATAGAACACATTAGACGTTCTCGATCTCCTCTTCGTAGCATCCCCACTATCGTCTACTAAGCATTCTCCATATGTATGCTCCTTTGTAGTGGGATAGTCAGTATATCTATATCTTATTTATAAGTTTCACTTCTACCGTGTGTGACTTGCAGACACACACACTTTTTTTTCCATTTTCTTCATCTTCGTAACCTTCTCATAAATATTAAGCGCGGTCAACACAGCACGTCATCTTTTTAGATTCAAGCTTATCATATGTCATCTCTGCACTCACAACTTTCTGTCGCATATCCTCTTTCATACAGTCCATCCAAGTCTTTTTAGAATGCCCCCTACTAATATTACCGTGTATATCCAGGGTATTTTTTGCCAAATGATCGTCCTCTATTATTTTCTTTTTTATTCAATAAAAATCTATGGCAAAAACCCCTTTAACGCCCCTGGAGGTAGGACGGTGGTAGGACGTCTTGTGAGTCCGCACGGGTAGGTACCACAGCAAAGCCTATTTCTGCCGTGAAGCTGTAATGCGTTTCGGTTTGAAAGGTGGGGCAGCCGTTGTAACTATACTGAGACCTTAGAACTTATATCTCAAGGTGGGTGGCGCATTTACACTGTAGATGTCTATGGGCTCCAGTAACCACTTAACACCACCAGGTGGGCTGTGAGCTCGTCCGCCCATCTAAGCAAAAAAAAATATATAAGAAAAAATGGAGAGTTAGACGTTGATATGTCACGACAATAAGGATTTTTTGCATTGTATGATTTTTTGAGGTAATTCAATATTTAAAATAACTTACGCCTATGACGTCTGAGAAGCGTACACACCAGAACTGACGGACATTGAATAATTACCTGAAAATTGAAAAGCCAAGGTTTAACGTTACGTTCAAAAGCCAATGTGTTTTAGTTCAAACACGTAATTTGCGATTCCAATTGGACCGCGTTAACTAATAACATTAATAGGACGACTATTAAAAGTTGACCCATTTAATTTTTCGCGACCCAAATTCGCAATGCAATGTTGTTCTTTTAACAGTAACACATTAAAAAATGTTACACAACACGCCTGTCAGAATACGAAAGCGAACAGATTTGTCGTTTCAAAGGCATTGGGACATTGAAATATTAACTTTCTTTAGTCGTATCAATTCAACCGAGAATTAGGACGCTCCTTTAATATTTGACGTTGAGAATGACAGCCATAAAATTAAAACGATATTTTACGAAGCGTTGAGTAATCAGGCAGCATTCAGAAATGTGATTTGAATGTTAATCTTTCGAAATGGAACATCGTACAGAAATCTATATATTAATACGTGAAGCGAAAACTTTGTATCCCTTTTTACGAAAATTGCGCGGACGGAGGAGTATGAAATTTTCCACACTTATAGAGTATATAGAGAAGAAGTGCACAATGCTAATATTTTTTTAAAATAATACATAAAAGATACATTAAATCAATAAAGAAAACATTACACACACTACATACCATATATTTGACGCACACACGCATGCATACTATTTATTGTCAAACTTTTGTTCTTGACGTCTGTGGTCAAATTGAGAATAGATTAAACATTGTTTGTCTTTATTAATATGTTTTTATAGTGTAGCCTTGGCGAAATTTGTGATTATAGAAGTATAAAATACAATCATAATAGTGTACAGACCAACAATTCCAATTAATTATAGTCGAATTTCGACTACTGCGGGGCCTCTAGTTTCAATAAAACTGCTATTCATATTTTAAAATGTCAAACATAATTTTATTAATGTTTAATTGCGTTGAACGGTCCACGATATTTTAACGTTGTAAATATACAATTCTAATGAAGTCCAATAGGATCGTTTCTATTTCAGTCTGACCCATTATTACAGAGAGAGCCGACTCTGTCGTAAAGTGGAATTTCAAGAAAACCCCATAAAATTCTTGCACAACATGAAAATACCCAAATTTAACACAACACAACACAAATGTCGGAGAAAATTAAGCACCCGAGTGTTGTGTAACTGTTATTTAATCATTAGACACGAAAGCTTTTAGCTTTGGAAGATGCACATGGTCAAAAAATGTTTATGAAGGTCCTGTTAATAAATAAAAAATGTAAACCCATGTTTATTTTGCTTCTTTGTGCGAGATTAATTCCGTTAATAAACTGACGTACCTGTACGTAAATTTATTAGTACGATATGAGTCCGTGAAATAAAACTTCCTAGACGCAACTACACACAGTTGATCTATAAATATATTAATAAACAAGTTCACGAGACTTAAAACATATGGCACGTCTGACAGGTGTTCTCCGACACGTTGGAATCGAAGGGCTCAAATGACGACATAAAGATAACGAGCACTGAAAAACAAAGTGAAAAATAGCTCGAATTTATTGAATCAAATAATTGTAACATTGTTTTTCGACGTCGCCTAAAACACGTCATTACGGATCCTCCCGAGCCATTAACGGTGCTTTTAGGTACCACAAGCACCGGTCACTGTCCTCGTCGAACCCGTCGCTTGCGACGAAGGGCTCAACCAGCGAATTCCATAGACACAGCCCACTGAGTTTCTCGCCGGATCTTCTCAGTGGGTCGCGTTTGCGATCCGGTGGTAGGATTCTGCGAAGCACTGCTCTTGCTAGGGTCAGTGTTAGCATCACTCCGGTTTGAGCCCCGGAGCTCACCTACTAGTTAAGGTTACGCTGAAATAGCCACTCAAGGCTATCAGCTTAGGTAGAAAAAAAAAATGTTTTATATCATTATTTATGAGAAATTAAATCGTTCCAGGTGTCGCGAGACGACTACGAGGTCGACTACAGCTCAAGCCCGAGGGGATCTCCGCTCAAGGACACGTCTAACATCCAAGATGACCAAACATATTGCATCAGTCGTCACAACCCCAACAAGACCTACCGTCGCGAATCCGTGATCGCTTCGTGGAAAAGTTTGAAGAAGGAAAGGGAACTGGCTTTGGGGAAACGTGTTATTTACGTTGATCCTAACACTTACAAGGATTATTATGGCAGGAATCAGATGAAGCGATGCAAGAGCGACAGGACAGCTAATGTGCCCAAGGTTCCAAAGAAGGTTAAAAGGGCATATTCAGTTCTCTATAGATACGATCCTAATGAAGAAAAAGTTATTAAAGAATATAAATATCAACTCCCCAAAGAACCGCAGGTGGTAACTCCGCCGCCAATGCAGAGGTCTTACTCGGAACCTTTCTTGAGACCGGAGGCTGTGCCAAAGAAGAAGGTAAAAAGGTCTTTCACCACCCTCCTCAACATCAAGACGAAGTTCTTCAACATTTTCTCTTCGAAAAGTTAAATCGTTTCGTGAGGATTTAGGATGATTAATTGCTCAAATCAATGCATTTCGCGTTCATTGACTAATTCAAATTTAATGAACACAAATTGGATTTCATTGCCAAAGTATCTAGTCAGAGCTTGACGAAGACGAATTGTGTATAAATAATTTTGATTCGCAAGGAGAAAGTAGAACCCTTTCTTTATTTAAAAGTTTTATACTGCGGCAAAAAGCTATATGATTCAAATTGTAATCTCACACAGCGTTTTTAGAAATAAGTTAATTAAGTTTGTTATATTAAGTGTGTTGTGATATAATTTAGTATTTTTATATAATATTGCACGGTCTCTATGTTGTATATTTTATACAATATTAGACGACGTTGCTGTAAGCTTTGAATAATATTATTATGTAATTTGCATTTAATTAGGTATATGAGAAATTTGTAGTTTCTTTAATTTTTTTATTTCATTATGAAATATAAATAATTAAGTTTAACTATCTGGACAAAATATTGTAGTAATTTTGACAACATTAATTAAATATTCATTAAAATATATATATAGAGACAAAATAAAGTAATTTTTATATTTTTTAAATAAAATATACTTTTAATTACATTTTTGTATGTACTGTTTATAAAAAAAAGAACAGTTTAAATGGGTATATCTCAGAAAATATGTATTGCTATTATAATAATCTGCTTTACTTTTATAAAAATGGAAGATACTGAAAATCTTAGGCTTTATGTCATATTCGTGATATGACGTATAAGTTTTAAGGATAACTTTATTTCAAAAACTAATTACTTCATGTATAATAACAAATATAAAAGAATAATGTTTAAGTACTTAAATTTCTTTTTAAATTCCAATGTTTATGTATTTTACATTTCTAATGAGTATGTCATGTATTATTTTCAAATAAAAGTAAAAATATAACAAATTTATTCATGAATCCAAGCTAAGAAAAACTATACATTCATTTAATATCGAATAAAGCCCTTTTTCTTTAAACAAGCACGGCTTTATTGACAAATCTGTCGTAACTAATCTTATACTATGTTTTGTCTCTTTTGATTATCTAAAGTTAACTCGATGACAAGAGGAAAACGTTGAGCACTGTCCCTAAGTTACACGACGCTTATAAGACCAGTTTTGTTTACAATCATGTATTCATGCTTTATAGGCGTACAGTAATATTCATTAACCGTCGCCAGTATTATATACTTGTCCAATCGTTATATGGACTCTACTTATTTATATTAGCTATTGTATAATGAAACGAAATATTTTGTCCTTATTTTTAAAAACCTATTCTAGTTTATATTTTAGTAAAATATATTATAACCATTCCTTAGGAACACTATTTAGATATTAATTAGTATAGTGATTTTATATTTAAAATATCTTATATTTAGTGTTTGGTTTTAATGATAGAGGAGTGTTTGTTGATCGCCGATATTTTTTCATGTACTACATTGTTCATTATAGTTCATCTATTTATTTAACTAGGTAGACTCTAACTAGTTAGCAAAGAATTCACTGTTCGTTTAAAATTTATTTGATAAAATAATAAAATTTCAGATTTAATTTGTTAAAACAATATTAAAGTTTCGTCTATGAGTTGCTGAAAAATAGCATTTATATAAATCGAAGATATTTAGCATTATACCATAAACAATATAAAATGCTATAAACATTTTCTAATAATTCTAAAATATACAGGGTGAAGTTTTTAATACTTTTTTAGAATTCTTTTCCTTGATCAGTTTTTCGATCGAGTTGTTGGTTTTTATAGAAGTTAATATAGAAATTGAGTGAAACTGTCTTAGTAATTATCGTTACGGAATAAACAATCTTATGTCATTACTCATAGTATGAGAATAAGTACGCATGCCCTTTAAAAATACACAAGGCAAGTTTATAGAATTGACACCGAACACTCCTCATTTACATTACAACATTAATTGACCATATCAAATTTTAGTATATTAAGTTTTCAATTAACTAAATGACTTTATTTACGAACGTAAGCTATTATTGATTGTATTCAATAGATTTTTAAGCAATAAATTTTATTACATAATTATATTTTACGTGTTTCAATAGCATGGAACATAGTTCGATTGATTTAAAAGTCTCGTTAACGATCGTGTAATGCTGACAATAACCGCTTCCTAGTCGTACACTCTTGACAGAGTGGTCGTGGTCATGCATCAGTCGGATCCTGGGATACCGATGCTCTCGCGATGCGACGCTATGTGACACGATGTTTCGCAGAATGAGAGCAATCATTTATGTTGCAGTGAATCACAGATTTTGTGAGGTCGGTTCAACGTGTTGGAGATCGTCCGCGAGATATTTTGCCCTCGAATTTCCCTTGCACCACCAACAGTCTTCCAATAACTATGTAATCAATAAATAAATGATAATCAATTGAGTGGATAAAAGGAAATTTACTTTTTGATTGTTCCTAATGATGCCATCTTAATTACCAATATGTATTAACTGTAAATTTGTATTCTTATGGAGACGAGCACGCGACCCACTTTATGGAAAGCTGTTACCGCCTTAAGTAGACACTTAGAAAAATATGCCGTTGCTACAGACAGACAGACATACCACAGAGCTCATCAAACTTGAAATGTACGTGTCTCCATTAAAATTGAACTTTTACACTGTTCTACACTGAGACTGTTGTATTTAGAAGAGATATTTAATAGTATTTGAAATATAAAGCCAATGAAGAAAACAGCAGCAGAACGATTTCTTGTAACTTATCAGTAAATCAACCAACACATATTACGAACTTTAAGAATATTTTTAATAATTTACTATCGAACTGAATATGGCCTAGCAGACATTCGATTCATTTAATTAATGGTTACGCGATTGTTCCGTGGTTCGATTCTGGGGTGGGCATCACTTCTAAGCCCTTTTCTAACTATTATATGCAGTGAAGAGTAATTAATAGAAGAATTGTGATTATGCGCGTTCAAACGTGTCAGTGGTCCACAGTCCTGTATTTTTATGAGGCGGACTATTGCATTTGAGGCTACGACCTCACGTCTCAAAGCATTTAATTTAGCAAAGGACCACTTCAAAATTTTGAAAACTTAACCGCCAAATTATTTGGCATAGGTACAAATTTATTTATGTTAATTTCACTATACTGTAACCGAAATTTGGAAACAATGTCAAGTACATTGAATAAGCCCGCATAATAGGCACTATTAATAATTTAATCCACGGTCGTAAGATAGGCTATCTGGGGGGGTTAATGCGGGCCCTGACGATCCTGTGACGGGCAACTAGGGTTTCGGTTAATTCAAATTGAAATTGTAAATGACGTCATGCAAATTGTTCGGTTACATGATTTAATAAAGACCTCTAATATTTTTTTTGGTTTTCAACTCTAAGATCCACTTTGGGTTTAACTAATGCCAATGTACCGTTAATTAATTTCGTGTAATCATTACAAAACAGCGTTCAAATTTGATATATATTTTGTGCTTGTCAACCGATTTAATACACACCCAATAAACACGGTTTATTTAAGAATAATAACGTCGTAAGCATGCAGCAAAAAATATTCTTTATTAACATGTTTTGCAAGTCGTTAATTTCAATGCAATGTGATATTTTAACAATAACGAGACACACCAATGCGTCATAGCAGTTTATTTATTTATTTATTTATTTTATGTACACACAGAAAACAAGACACAGTACAGAGTAATAGGAAAATTATGTACAAAGGCACTGCTTATTTCTTTGAGAAATCTCTTCCAGCAGACCTGCGAGAGGATAATGAGAATAATAATAAAAAGTGATAAGTGTGTGTAGAACAAATAACACATAACTAAAATAACAAATACAACATGAGAATTATAGCACATACACATAGNAGGAAAATTATGTACAAAGGCACTGCTTATTTCTTTGAGAAATCTCTTCCAGCAGACCTGCGAGAGGATAATGAGAATAATAATAAAAAGTGATAAGTGTGTGTAGAACAAATAACACATAACTAAAATAACAAATACAACATGAGAATTATAGCACATACACATAGCAAATATTATAAGTAACACAGTAACACTCGTTTATTGTTGTGCGTCGGACTAACAAGACTTCTTCCCATTAAAATATTCAGTGGTGAATGGGCAGCAGCATACCCTAAGTACGATACCAGCGTACGATAATCGTTGTCAGGTATTCACTGGCGGTGGGGCGTACTGTAAGTAAGCCCGCGTGGATAGGTAATACCAGCTTCGCTATTTCTAGGGCAAAGCAGTCATGCGTTCCGGCCATTATAAAATACAATTGAGACTGGTTTTGAAGTGGGTGACAGCATTCACGTTGCGATCTCTATATCTTTTTTTTTATTGCCCATGTAGGCAGACGAGCATACGGCCCACCTGATGGTGAGTGGTTACCGTCGTCCATGGACTTCAGCAATGCCAGGGGCAGAGCCAAGCCGCTGCCTACCGCTATTTTCTGGGCTCCGGTCATCACTTCACGAGATATGGGCCGTGACTTCGATTAATCATCAGAGCAACAAACAAAAAAAACGTACGTTCCGTAGACGGAAGGAAGATCTTGCACTGGGCGGCTGTAGTTACTCGGTAGACCGACTGTCCGAATGTTATTATTCTTAATTTGTACATAGGTATACAGGGTGTCCCAGAAAGAATTGATAATCCTGAAACACCTCATAGTAGAGCTATTTTGGACTTAAAATAAATAAAAATATTTTTTAGGTACCCAAATAAAAAATTAAAAAAGTACCATATTTCATTATTAAAATTTAAGTTCAGATTAACTTTTATAAAAAAATACACTAGCTACTCATACGATTTCCTCCATATTCCTTAGTATAGTCCATGTAGAATATTATAAAACCAAAAAGCCTATGGATTTCATTTATTTGTAGCTGTTGTATATTTCAGAAACGCACTGTATATGAAAAATACTGGTACTACCTGAGAAATATTTTTTTTATTTTGTGTCCCCAATAGCTCTACTATGAGGTGTTTCAGGATTATCCATTCTTTCTGTGACACCCTGTATATGCAAGCTTCTCTTGACAACGTCTAAGCGAGATTAAAGTATATGTCAAATATCTTGTGTTCCGTGATGGCTATCCGTCACAAACCTATCAAAGCTTTCAAATATTATTTGAACTAGAGGTCCCGCAGTAGTCGAAATTCGACTATAATTAATTGGAATTGTAAGTTTGTACACTATTATGATTGTAATTTATACTTCTGTAATCACAAATTTCGCCAAGGTTACACTATAATTTTTTT